CACAGTACAATTTATCAAATTAATCCAACTTTTTTACAGGTCTATTCTGCACGTTACCAAAGATTTTGTAACCGGAAAATTTTATTACCAAAAAATGTTACCAGTTCTTGTCACCGCGATTCTAATTACGTTGGTAATGCAGTTAAAATATTCAGCAATTCAGCTATGAAGAATTGTGGAGATTCTGGCATTGCATATTTCACGGGGCAATACTTTGTTACCAGCTTATGAGATGGTAACAAAATTTACCGCTTACAAGAGTACACAGAATTCGAAAAGGGTTTAAAATTTGACAGGAACTTAATTTACCGGTTACAAAACTTTTATTACCAGCACAGAATAGACCTGTTAGTCTGACTGTAAAAACGGCAAACTTACCAAAAGTTACCAAAATAAAAAAAAAGTTGCCAAGTTACCAAGCACTCAAAAAGTTACGTATTTTGGTCACAAGTGACCAAATGTGGCAACCGTGGGCAGGGCTAGTGAAAAATTTGACAGCAAGCATTAGCTTTGTTTCTTTACAGATAATTATCACTAGTTTTTGTTGGAAAGCGTTTCTTAACCCAAAAACCATGGTACAATAATTACCATGCCCAAAAACCTAGCAGAAACTAAAATCTTTCTCGTTCATAAGCTCTTTTTTTTGTATTCATAAATCGATTAAGCGATGGCTGTCTGTCCGTCCGTATGTGCACACGATAACAGGCCAACCTTATATTCACGTCCGCCGGCAGTTTACTGTCAAAAATTTCTCATGCACATACAACTTGTAAATGCCCAACCGAAATTAACCGGCGTGCGTAAAAAGCCTCAAAATCCAAGATTTGTGTTGCGAGACATTTCGATTTGACGTTTGCGTTTATTATACATTTACGCGCGACTATGAATTCAAATTTTGAACAAATGTAGAATAGCTCCGATTCTCAAATAAAAAAAAAATAAATATTGGGATCGATAGATGATTCAGCTAAACGTAACGGTATATTTTACGTCACGTTAATTACGAAGAACTAAAAAAAAAAAACATTTAGCGGAATCGTCCCAACCGTTCTCAATTGACTAATTACTCTAAATTTTTCACACCATTTTTATATATATATAGATAGTAATATACAGTTCATGACAAATGCACTACAGTAATCCTTGCATTTCATTCATGAATTGCATATATGCATCGTCCTTTGTAGCTGCTTTGTTGGCTTCTGCTGTTTGATTACTTGGTTCTTGAATCAACTTAGGTCGAGTACCAGGTTTCCGAGTCTCCTCACGCTTTACTCGCAACGTGGATGGTACAAAGCGTGTAACGTCGGCACTTAAATTTCTAAACGAAAAGAGGAAACAATTTTCATTTATAAAACTCTTATAATAGGAAATTTCGCACCTAATCTGTGGTTTTGCAGTTATTGTAGTTACACCTTTACTTTGGTCTTTGTGGGTTAGTTGATGATTCTTATGATGATGTGCCATTCGAGGTGGCATTCCGGGCGGTGGACCTGGTGGCATTCTTATTCCCATTCTTGGTGGCATGCCACCCATGCCAGGAGGGCGTGGTCCGGGTGGTGGGCCTGGGGGCATTCGTATACCAAAAGCATGTAGGGCGCCAGGTGGGCGTAATGGAGGTGGCCGTAAAATCATAGATGGTGCCAAACCAGCTACTGGGGGCATTGGTGGACCTGGAATTGATAGGCGTGGACCAGCATGAAGAGGAACAGGTGGCAAAGGTATGGATACAGGTACTGCCGCAGGTCCACTTATAACAGCGGTAGAAATATACTCATGCTGCGGGCTTTTTGTCTCTTTTCGCTTCCTCTTAGGAGATCGTTTAGCATCTTCACTTCCATCACCACTATCTGAGTCTTCTGAACTACGACTGCTTATAGGTGTACCATCTTCATCATCAGATTTATGAGATGTTTTAAGTTTGCCTTCGTCATCAGACGTTGAAACCTCATCTCCACGCATGGCTGCCTCTCGCTCTTTTTCTTTCTTCTTGTGCACGCTTTCCATTTCCTTCATAAATTCATCAATATTCTGCCCAGAAATTGCTAACATTCGCTGCTGCAATGAATTTGGCTTATTTATTGCCTTTGACTTTCCGCCTCTTAATTTTGGAGTATATTCTTTCAGTTCAACTTCTTCATCTTCGGCATCTGTGTCTAAGTCATTCATTTCAAGAAGATTAGGTGCTAGTCCTGGCGGAACACCCAAAAATTCCTTCTTTTTCGTGTCGTTGGACTTGTCAGCAGCTTTAGAAGCCTTGCCACATTAGAAGACAAAGTGATTTAAATAAATTAATGTGAGCATTCAATAAAACTTACGGGATCACTTGGTTTTTTTATCGCACCCGGTGGTGCACCAGGTGCGAATGGTGGCAGAGACAAAGCCGTTGGCGGAGGGGGCAATCTATTAGAAACGTGGAACCCTATAATATTGTTTGAACCAGGAGCAGGAGGTCCTTGTGCGGATGATGGTAAAGGAATTTCATCTATTTGTACACTCTGTGCATGCTTTACGCTTTCATAATATTGTTGTTTCTTCAGACGTTTTTTTTCGTATTCAACCTCCTTACGCTTCAACTCTGCCCAATGCTCGGGTTCGTCATTATGCTAAATTATATTCTCGTTAAATGATAATTTGATTTATATTACTGACGCAACTTACGTAAAGTCGCATCACACGATCAAAGGTCTCTTTCAACTTCTTCCTTTTATCACGAAGAACCTTCTCATTTAAAGGCGATGGTTGTAGCACATTGTATTCTGTTTTTGATCATTACAATCAAATCAAAATGTATTGGGTATAATGTACATAACATACCCATTTCATCGATTTTCTCCATTTCTTCTAAAATCTGGCCAGGATCCTTATTTTTGAGAACGGCCGCTCTAACCATTTGCCTTTGCCGTTTATTCTTTTTCAGTTCCTTTTTACGAGCTTCCTTCCCTAAAAGGTGCGATGCTTTTAAGTGGATAACAATGCAAATATATATTTAAGTATACGTACGTGCTTGATCAGTTGGATTCATGTATTTTCCACTTTTCGTGGTATTAATGGAACGTCGGCCCATTTTGTTGGTTTTAAATTATTTTGAACCGAGTAAAGAAAATATAAATGAACTTTCTCACAATTTTTTGTTTACCGGATTCATATGGCCTTCTGTCAAACAAAAAAGAAATGACAGGGCGTATATTGATGATATAGGTTTATCGATAATGCTGTGTAGCCACATTTCTGAAAATTTTTAAGAGCCACCGCACACCACAGACTTTATGCATGATTCAATATTGTTGAATAATGGACTTTATCGGCCGCCGATTTAAGGCTCAGCCAGATAGAAAATCTATTCTGCATCGCAGGGATACTTTTGACTGGCAAATCGTACTCAACATGGCGAGGCGGCACAATGAAAACAATTACAGATTAGGGAGTTAAGTTCGAAAATGAAGATAATCTACTTATTTGTAAACCTAGTATAAAGGATTTGTTAACATCACGAGCACCACTATTTTGTACCTTTCTTTAACTAAGGAAGAGTTAATTCTAAATTGTGTTTAAAGTGACTGACAATGGGCCTCCGCACACTAGCCTGCTCAGTCGGACTGAGCAGTCCACCACTCGAACGCACACTGGACTGGACAGTCGGCCGAAAACAGGTTTCAGTTTTGTATACATGAACTACGCTTGATTGTGTTAGTGCATGTGGCACATGCAAACAAAACGAAATACCCCAGTGGGAATTAGGAGCACGTAATAATACCTTATTAGCAACTTACTCTTCACCTGGCAGTCATTACCATTTCCCTGCCGAACGTCCCTTACTTTTACAAAGGCATGGCCGCCTTATGTAAGTAGGAATTTAGAGGGTACATTTGGTATCAGACATACTTCTGAGCCGCTATACAAAGTAAGTTACGTGTAATGCAGAGCAGTCGCTCGGAGTAGTTCGGTGCTTGGAAATAACTTCGGCTGCACGTTATTTTGCAACTGACAACGTAATGTGTCTTCGGAGGTGTTCATTTTGCCCTTTACTAGTAGATGACATTAGCCATGATGACAATTTTGGTACTAAAAACTGAAAGAAAACATGGCTTACCTCGGAAGGTGCTTACCTATTTTCCCAGTGGGACAAAACATGGTGTCTATGTGTGCGTGTCAGTCCATCTTCAATCCGCGATTTTCGCGGACTGAAATGAATGAGGTAAACTCGAACTCTCTTCCCCCTCTTATCCAGACAAAACCGGTTTTAGGCGGACTGAGCAGTCCAGGGTGCGGAGGCCCAATAATAATAATTATTTTTTTGTATTTAAGTTACTCCAGAAAAGTTTACAATGATTAAAAAAGGAGAATTATTTGGCCCAGCTAATGGTTAATTTTGGTTTTCGTTGTTTTTTGTTTGTTTAATTTTCGCTCGTTTTCCAGTGAAACAGGATGGCGTAGAACCCGCTCAAAAAATCGACTTTTTTCACTCTCTTGTTCTTACGTGATCTTGTGTCTTTCATACACGATTGCAGACGCAGCACCTTCTTTGTGGCGTATCCGTTATTGACGTACAAGTACCCATTCTGTCCTGCCTATAAGTACTGGTGCGTTTAGTTTGAAATCTTGGTTGTTGTTTGTATGTTTTGTTTTAAAATTGCCTAATATTTCATTTGTTTAATGGACGAGGAGCAAAAATACAAACTTATAACCTGCGTTGATCCCAGGAAAATTAATGTGCCAATTAGAGATAGTAGGTTTTCTTAACAATTTGAGAGTAATCGCAAATATCCTTACAACTAATAATCTCCACTTTCAGGATTTGCCAAGCTAACGCTATCCAATAAGAAGAAACAAGTACAGATGGCAGACGCAAAAGAAGGAGACCTTGAAAGAGATATGGAACCAGATAAACGTGTTAGTCGAAATCTTATGGAAACACTTGATAAGGCAATTGAAAACGATTCCATTAAATGTGTACCTTTGCATGAAAATCTTGGCCCTGCTGCATCCACGCTTTCGAATCTTGATATGCCGTACTATGTTAATCCATTACTACGTAGTGAAAGCAGTGGAAGTATTCCTATAACGCAATCATGTTTGAATCATGAAAGGGAGGATGTGCAATCTGAAGAAATGCAGCCCTTACAAGTAAGTAATTTGACGGCCGATGACAATTTGCTGGATATTGAAATAGCTACTTTGACGAAGAAAGTGTCTGTAATGGCCGTGACTGCAAAAGATTTGAATGTAAATAGGAATGATAACATAGCTCATGAAAGTACTTTATTGATGTCTACTGAAAGCCAGAGAATGAGTTGCGAGTACCTACCAAACCGTCTTCGTACTCTGCCCATAAATCCTGAAGACGAAGAGCAAGTTCATAAAATAGAATCCCGACAGTCTGTATGTATATCGCTATCATCTACTGAAGATAGCCACAGTGCAATAACTGTAACTGATAGTAGTGTTTCGGGCTTCTTGGAGTTTGATTGTACGACATCCGAAATACCAGAAAGTGGTCATACAGGAGACGCTTTAATCCCGAACACCTTCAGTAACGAAAAGGCAGACCGGATGGAAGCTTTTTTACGTGACGTATCACAGCAGCGTAGAGAATTGGAAGAAAATAAAGAAGTATATGACGATAATTGCACTTTGCACAGAGATATTGATTTACATGCTTCTAAAGAAAGTGTTAAAGTAGAAGATGGCAATAAACAATTGGGCGGACTGGCATATGCTGATACTGAATCCATGACTACTTGTAGCACAGATTATCGGAGATCAGAGGAATATGTCAACATATTAAGTAAAAAGCGGGAACAAGATGCCGAGAGAGAAACTTTGTCAGAGGAAAATCCTTTTCGTGTATCGGCCAGCCCAAGAACTCAAAATATTAGAGAAAATAATGAAGACCCTCGTCGTTTAGCAAATGATGAGACGCAGGTTAACACATCCACTTCGCGGTACATCAAAGATCATTGGTTAGCTGAAACACAAAAACAGGAGGCCGACTATTCCACGGTTATTAGCGAGCAAAGCTTTATCTCAGACTCTGTTAAGCTGGATGTTCCCGAAGATTCAGTTGTAATTTCTGAGACATCTAGTGAAAATGTAAGTAACCCTTCACTTCATGAGAGCAGATGTAGTAGTAGAGAAGGGAATGCTGAAGATAGTCAAACTACAAGTAAGTATTGGGAAATGCATTTTTATGTAAAAATGCTCCGTTTATACTATGATTAACATTGATTTTCAGATTCAGCGAATGTCCAAATATCGCCACAAGTAGAGATTAGTAGCATTAATATATCCGCAAAGATCAACATTAAAATTTCAATATCGCAGTTAGATAGCTCAGAAGAGTTATGTGAAAATGTCAATGCAGAATCAGTTGAAGTAAATAGTGACGGTAGTTTGGTTAATAAAGCTCAGGAAGATGAAAAAAATAAAAGCACAACAACAATTGTTAACAACGAACTATTGGAAGCGACGTGCGACCAACAGAGGCCAGATAGAAGCAGATTACATCCGGCCAATGCGACAGAGGAAAATAACAGCGAAAATATAAACTCCGAAGAAGAGGAAGACGCGATGTTCCTCACTCACGCAGAAAGGCTTCTCAACCAGATATATGGGATGTCGTGGAAAACGCCGGAAGTGATACGCACCCTTAAACGTACCAGCCGTACCCCTAAAAAGACAGATGGCACCCCATCGCCCACAACTTCTAAGGCATCGACTTCATTTACAGGAACAAAATTCGATAGTAATGGGAAACAAAACATTGAGCCTTTTAGCTGTGAAAAGTTAATGGATAAAAGTGTCGAGCCAAGTATATTGGATGATTTCTCCATTTGTAGGTAAAACCGTAAACTTGGCGTTTGAATATAAAGGCATATTTATTTACAGTTCGTCGCGACATTGTACGTACGAATTTGGATTCTACACGCTTCGTTACACCGAAGCAAGACAAGAACCAAACCAGAACACCAGCTGTATATGACAACTTCAGTAGCGAACCGCGCTGCATAACTCAGCGGAATAAACAGCACGATTTTAAAGTTCCAAAAACCGAGGTCAAGAAGAAATGTTCGTCTAAACGAAAACAAAATAACGTGGCCTCAGCTGAGCGTTGGCGACAAATAGTGGATGAGAGCAGTGAGACGTCAGGTGACAATGCTTCCGACGATGACACATTAGACAAAACAGAAACCCCTGATTACAGGGGTGGTAATAAAGAAAATGAAATCGATAAAGATTCAGAGTGGAGTATCACATCTGATGATAGTGATGGAAATGACTATGAAATCCCACTACCAAAGAAAAGCAATAAAACGCATGGTAAAAAACAACAACAACACAATTCCAATCGCAGAGAACAGGCTAGTTCCACAGGACGTCGACTAGGAAAACCGAAATCTAAGGACGCCTTGGTATACTTAGATTTATCTAAAGATGAAGTGACTATACAAGAAGGTGAACCGACATCTCCTCCAGCAAATAATGGTAACTTCAAAACAAACCACTGATAGCCGTAAATATTTGTTTAATAGAACTGGATTCGCAATGATTTTTTTACGTGTGTTCTTTTCCTTATCCAGATGCCAAGTTTAACACTCATTTGGAGGACATTTTGCGTACCTGTAAGGCTACCGACAAGGCAAAATTGCCAGCCACTCCAGGTACTGGTGGTAAATCGAAACGAAAATTATTTACTGCTTATTTTGGCGAAGAGGATGTTGACTTAACGGTTGGTGAAGATGGTGTGCAACCTCGTACACCTGTTAGGTCAGCAACAAAAATTGACGAAGAAGTGATTTTGCAAGAAATGGAACAAGTGAAGCTAAATGATGGTTCATCGGGTAGTTTTGCTATCTTTAATAAACATTTAGAAGCCATAAAACGAGGAGATCCCGTTTTCAAATTAACACCACCACGGGCTCCAGCTACACCTAAATCAACAGGTATGTTAATAATTTATATATTTTAAAATACACTCCCAGTCAATAATATTATTATTATTATTCATCTTTATTCAGTCTATGATTAGTATTCCCTTGTGATCCTCAGTATGTACAGTTAAGGGAAAACTTTACATACTGAGGATCAAAAGGGTCTGCTAATCTAATGACTGTGAGTACATATATGCTTTTGATATACTTTAAATTATACAGAGAAATTTTTAGCAAATTTGCTCATGTAGTATATGTATACATTGTACATTTAATTATGCTCCAGACGCTGCTTGCAGCGGAGTTTTCACTCGTGCACTACATGCCTGTTCCTCAAGCGCACGATATTTGATATATATTTTTTAAATTTTTTTAATTGAGGCAGGTTGAAGCGCTGAATATGAAATGAGAAAATCAAATAAAAGCTGCGATCCGTTAATGGATGTAAGAAGATAATTTATCAAATACACAAGCTTTCTAAATATGAACTAAATTGGAGCATAAATACTGTTTTCCCAAATATCTCGACTCCTGTGCCAGATAAAATATAAAAATATAAAATAAATCAGGCCATAAATGTAGGTTTTGGAAATATTTCGAACTCTGCGCCACCTACCGGCCAAATTTTGTGTGGAGTTTTTTCTTTCAATATGAACCGAATCGGTCTATAAATAAGGGTTTTTCAAATATCTCGAGTCCTGTGCCATCTATCCGTTATCTTTCACATTGCATTGTCATCGGGTTCTGAGCCAAGTGTGAAGTTTCAAGTCTCTAGGTCAACGAGAAGTGGGTCAAAAACTAATTACAAGATTTGACCCATACAAACGTACTTACACACCGTCCCCCTCATGCTGGAAGCATGAATGTACAAATTTACACATGAGTTAAATCCCTTAAAAAACTTTCAAACTTGATTTCCCAAGATTTTTATTTTTACACATTCATATTTCTGGCATAAGGCCCGGGGTCGCTACATACGTATGTAAAAACTGAGTTTTAAATATAACCACATAACCAAATGTAAACCCCTAAAAAATGCTGTCTTATGCTTTTAAAACAAATAGTATGTCTACATTGCTTAAAAATATATTTGTATTTTAATTTTAGAAACCTCAAAAGAGACAAGGACATTAAGAGATAATACAAAAAAGTTGTTAGATCAAATTGGCCCTACACCTAAGTATAAATACGGATTTCTCAAATCCCTTGATGGTAAATAGTTGGAATTGTACTTTAACTAATGAAAAAAAGATATTAATATGTGCTTATTACCAGTGTGTGTTGCCAAATCACTTTGTCATCCAGATGCGTTATGTTATCGTGAAAATTATCGAACTAAGAAGGAAGAATTGGCCAAGCTGCTATACGAGCTTTATAATACAAAATTATTTCAAAACAAGTTGAAAGTCCCGATAGAATGGAACAAAAAACTTTGTAATACAGCTGGACGTTGCCTAAATAAGAAAAAGTATGTACACATATTTATAAATTAATTAAAATTAAATGGTGTTCTTATACAAATTAAAGCATATGGTTGTTTAAAGTACAAAACCGGGTATCAAGGGAATGCAAATCCGCGTATGTGCTGTTCACAAAATTTTGCGAGAGAGAGTAAAACCTGTCTTATTTCAAAACGATTCTCTCTTTTATCCCTAAATATATCTAGCTGTTTTATATAAATATCGATATTTTGGTATGAATGAATAAGGTTTGATGTCAGGAGTTTCCGTTGGGTAAATCTCATTTTTGGCACAAGTGTCAGTTAAGAGGTTTGGCCGAACCACGATACGTGGTTTTGTACTTTAAACAACGATATACAACGTATGTATTTTAATGCGCACAAATGTTTTTTTCCTCCATACAGAATGGGCGTGCGAACGAGTTTAGTCGAACTGAGTGAAAAGGTACTTACAAGTGCAGATCGTTTGCGGTGTACTTTAATTCACGAATTATGTCACGCTGCAACTTGGATATTCAATGGTGAGGGTGGTCATGGAAGCACTTGGAAACAATGGTAATTTATGAAAATCCCATTCACATAATTTTAACTTTTGTGTATAATTAAGATGCCTACATTTAAAAAATCGTTAAATTTATCTTAACCTCATTTCTAGGGCATTGAAAGCCAATCATATTTTTCCGGAAATACCCAAAATTGGCGTGTGCCATCAGTACGACATTGAGTATAAATATACTTATAAGTGCACTCTATGCGGGGCGAAGTACGTTAATTAAAAAAAAAATATACATTTGAAAAGTTCCATAACAAAACGACAACAAATTAAAATTTGTCAGTTTCCTAGATAATATCATGTAGATTGATGTAGATAATTAGGAAAATGCTACATTGAAATGACAAAAAATGTTAAAAAAATCGAACTTATCGACCATCCTTATCGATTTTTTTTTATACGTAATGACTCGAGTATTTTTTAATGTCCAAATTTGAAAAAAATTACGCTTATTGTGTAATTAGTTTAAGATTTCTGACACGTGCAAATAACTTCCGCTATTTTGCGTACTTTAGATATTTATATTATTGTGGTTTGAACAATATTTTTAAAAATCATTTTTTTTTACTACTTGTGAATACAAGTACATATATTTTAATAGGTTGAACTAGTTTCTTCAAAACTTCAAAATAATATTAGGATGAATTATATATTGCGTTTTGTTATGGAGCTTCCGCATGCACATGTGTATACTGAGAACGTATAAAACATACACACAATTTTACAGGTCACATGCTCATTCCAAATCGAAGAAAGTGGAAAATATTAGATGCTCCTATTGCCATGGTGCTATTGAGATATTCTTAAATAAAAAAGATAAGGAGGGAAATATTTTGCCTACACCAGTTCGCGAACCAACAGGTTTTGCTAAGTTTGTTAAGGAAAACTATAAGCAATACAAACGTCCCGATCTCAAACATGCCGAAGTTATGAAGATTTTAAGTACTGAATTTGCAGCATTAAAAGTGCCTAGCAGCGGAAAATAAATTGTAGCGGCCCCCTTTTGTTATAATTACATATCTTTATTTTACTAGATTAACCTTTTAAGAATAATTTTATGCAAGATTTGGGCGTTGTTTTATATGCCTTATATATTTTATTTTATTTTTATTTTAACTTTAACATATTTCTTAACACTCCACATTTTAAAATTGATTGAATATACATACATAGTTTCGTACGATTGTAATCGTTTTAAATTATATGCATCCAAGGCGAATTAATATAAGGTGATAGCAGGAGTACAAAAACAAAAATTTACATGTATTTTGTTTTTGCTTTGGCGGCATAAACTGTCAAAATCTGTAAGAGTGTGTGTAGAAATTCAAACAAAATTTTTCAATTTGATATCAGAAGCCGTGCGGCGAAACTCATAACAAAATCAGCTGAGCTATTAACACCACCTTATATAAATTCGCCATGCATGCACCTTATACATAGCCGCGTTCCTCTCTTTTCATCACTATCAATACCTTTAAGCACAATTTCACAATTTTCAGAGAAGGCGGCTCCTAAACATATTTGCATTACATCTAATTCTTCCAGCATTTCTGAAATGCGCTCTGGAGTTAGATCGTTTGTCGGCCAGCATTCTTCGCTGATCAATCGCTTTTCTAAATATGTTTTGATTTCACCTGTGTCATTGACGGTCAACATTTTGTTTATATTTAGTTCCTCTTCATCTATACATACGAACATTATACGTTTTTGATTAGGGGAGCGATGTACACCCCAGAGTGTGGTCGGTAAAACCACTTCGAAAACGCTATCGAAAAGGTCGAAAGATTCGCTGGCTGTTGATGTTGGAGATTTTGTTCGGTTTGCGCTAAGATTACTACCTTCGATTTCTGGTACTTCTAAGATGTCAACTTTATTGCGAGCACTTGATCTGTTACCGCAGTCATCGGCGATCGTAAAATCATCGCAATGTAATTTTATGCCTTCGTAAGAGTTTTCTGGTTTTTCAATATCTGACTGCCTTATTTGCTGCGAACATAGGATTACATTATTTCCATTACATATTTGTTCAACTTCCAAAATTTCAACCATTTCGGGAATCCGAAGTGGTTTAGCATTGTTGTGAGAGGTGATTTCATCTTTATGTATCTCTTCACATATTTGTTCAACTCTCAAAATTTCAACCGTTTCGGGAATGCGAGGTGGTTTACCATTGTTGTCAGATGCGATCTCGTCTTTATGTAAGGTACTTGCTTTACCGGCCGTTTTGCCACGTTTTAATTTTATTTTTCCATTCACTGGTAAAGACTATTAAAAAATTATTTATTTATCAAAGCTGGTACATATGCATCATGGTGCATATGTACATACATACATATATGCGATGTATTTGCAATACTCACATTTCCTAAATTTGTGGTGGGCACAGCATTTGGTTTCAATCTTGCTCTCTCCCTTTCTATAAGATACTTTTTTCCGCCAATTGTGTGACTGTATGCTCCTAGAATGTCATTAGGTTCGAAATGATGCTGGCACACCCGGCATGAAGTTTTTATTGGTCTCTCAAGACTTGGTATTGCTTCAAGCCACTTTTGCAATAATTCTTCCTTTTTGGGAAAGTTAAACAAGAAACGTCTATTGTTAGCTCTTTTGATTCTTTCGCAACCAGGCACACAGCAATACGGCATTTTTAAAACGATTATGATTTACGGTTTATTACTTTTCCAAATTGAATAAAATTTAATTGGTAGATACGAAAGAATTCAAGTAAACAAAATTATATTCTTCTTCTTCATATCTCCACCAGTACACAATTAAAGCCTGTTAGGTCTGTTCTGGTGTAGGAAAAGCGTTCGTGCTAAACAGAGGCGTATTCAAGGCGAATTTATACATGGTGGTGTTGATGGCGAATTTAGATTTTCGCCGTGGTACTTCCTAATGTCAAAATGATGTGTTTGTTGTAAACAAGGCGAATTCATATTACAACAAACATATCATCAAGACGAATTTATACAAGGTGGTGTTGATGGCGAATAAAATTTTTGCCGCGGTACTACTGAATGTCAAAATGATGTGTTTGTTGTAATCAAGGCGAATTAATTTTACAACAAACACATCATTTTGACATTAAGACGTACCTCGGCAAAAATCTAAATTCGCCATCAACACCACCTTGTATAAATTCGCCTTGCACATCGTTTTGGCATTAATTACCGCGGCGAAAATCTAAATTCGTCATCAACACCCCCTTGTATAAATTCGCCTTGGGCGTATTCGTACAAGGCGATAGCAACAATACAAAAACCACAATGCCATGTATCAAGGCGAATTTAATAACTTATACCTTGGTTACAATGCACGGGGCGAATCGTAACAAATCGCGGCGAATTCGTAAGGATCTATTGATTTTAGATGCTTCCGTTTTACATTGCGTTCAAGTGCATTATAATCGTTTGAATGCATTGCCCATACAATAGATAATTAAGTGACAGTTCACTCCGTTCCGTTACTTCCATTATAATCCAGGCATTAGGGTTTACACCGGACAATATTGTCAAGACAATTATGTCAAAATGATGTGTTTGTTGTAAACACGGCGAATTTATATTACAACAAACACATCACGCGAGAGCAGTGCAGCGAGACGCGGGGGTCATGAGCGTGGCACGACCGGGCGCAGCGTGGTGAGGGGAGCCAGCAAATGTGCACCCGCTAGGTTATGCACTCGCAAAATTAAAACTTACCTAAGTACATATATTTATTTTCCAATATCCAATAAATCCGGATATATTAAATAATTATTTATTTCATTTTATTTGTAAAAATTTGTATCAGTTTAAATAATTCATTGCACTTGGACGTAATGTTCTCTACGGCGAAGAATTCAGATTCGTCGGTAACACCGCCTTATTAATTCGCCTTGAGAGTGTCATTTCATAATATGGCTTTATTACTCATTTGCACAAATTTGAATATGGCTTTATTTCACTTCTGGATTGGAAATAACGCCATATGGAAATAAGACCATATGGCGTTATTGCGTATGGTGTTATTGCACACCACCGTATTCTGATTTTGCTTTTGATTAGATGTGTTGTCAAATCAGGAAAAGCATAAACAAAATACATGTAAGGCGAAGAAATCAGGTGATCTAACAACACCACTTTGCATAAATTCGCCTTGACGGGTTTTATATCAAAATCTCAATTCGTCCCAAAGATACAAACTCGAATTGCATGTGAAAAGAAAATGTCAGAATAGCCACTTTTCTTAATATTAAATTCTTCGATAGGAAACTTGTTTAAATTAGTTAAATTGTAAAAATATATAATTTGCAATAAGAATTAATACGGAAAATGTGAAAACGAACGGTGATTTTTGTGGAAGTATTCGCGAATTTCAGTACATTTAAAGTTTCTGAGGCGTCGTAAATCAAGTTTTTCCACTATTACAGCTCAACGTTTCGCTAAACTTAATTTTATAGCATTAACACTAAAATATATTTCAATTGAAAACTTAATTGCACCATAAAATGTATTCCACCATTCTTCATTGCATCATGGGATAATTTCAGCAGTTCATTGTGAACAGTCATTTTAGACACAGAGAACGTAAATTTAAGGTACGACCGCACTAGGCGACGCGACACGGCACTACACTTCGCGGCAAAATATTCTTTGCATGTATTCTTATGGAGCATACCGCACTACGCTGCAGCGGAGCTACGCGACGCGACGCTGCGCGGCAAAGTTGACCAACTAGGCAAAAATGTCGCGCCGCGTGGTGTCGCGCAGTTCCGGTGCCGCATAGTGCGGTATACCTAGCGGAACGACATAACATTTCGTACTATATATTTAACTAGAAGCAATTGGATTTCCAATTGTGAGTGAATATTCACATGCATTTAATTCAAGAAGAAAATTGTATGTAAAGAAACATAATAATTGAGAAGAATTCGCCATAAAAAAAGGCATTAACATTACATCTTACATCAGCGTCAATGGCATCCATCTTGACACAAATAAATTAAAAAATTTGCAGCGAAGTGTCGCGCCGCTGCAGTTTCAGTGCGATATACCAAGTGCGGTCTTACCTTTATAATATACATTTACGTTCTCTGTTAAGACAGCTGTGCAATGCATTGACGTGTTTTTAAGCTCTTGAAGTTTGTTTATTTTCTAAATGCATTGCCATTTCACACTTATGCATAGTGTCCTCAAAATTCAGAGAAGTTTGTTTACGCACCGCAGCAATTCCTGTTTTTGCTCTGCCGGCTAATAAGATTCAAATAAAGTTTGTACAGTAAAGTAAACCAGTACGATGCAGCGCAATGTGCTTCACAGCAGCCTCCTTAGTGCCGCTTTCAGTATTGTATTCCAGGTGCGTTCACTAATCTATATTTAAATGCTTTGAACTAATTGTTTATATGAGTAATGGCTGATAAGCTTATTTTATTCGATTTTATTGAAAGATGGTTTGTCGTGTTCTAACCTTTGCCATCAATGCTTTCATTGTGCGAAATGTGGGTCGAGAGGTTTTAGGTATTATGAACGTTCGTTTGCTATTATTGGAAAGTACTCTGCTGTTTTTATCGAGGGAAGCCTTTAACCGAGCTGGATTAAGTGCTACCACTCAGCAACGTGATAAGTGCTCGTGGGCGCAGCTAATCAACCAAATGTGGCTTACGTGAGTACATACACACATTACATATCTATGAATATGTTTTCAAGAATCAAAAACATTTTAAAAATTTTCGTAGAGTTCCTACCTGTGCAGTCATATGTATTCCTTGCATTTACATTTGGTTACATCTGTTATCACCTGTGGATGAGCGATTTAATACCCAATATCAGTTCGGTTGCTATGCAATGGCTTTGTCATGTGTTATTGAGCTATGCGCCGAAGCTCCTAGTTTTGTGACACAAGTATTTTGTTTCGTACGGTTAAGAATAATATTGAACACTTTATACATTTTGGTACGGTCAGCAGTATTTCTCTGGATTGTAATAAACGACAAAAGTGCTGCAATTAATGCGTTTGCGCTGGCGCAACTTGTGAGCACTGCAACAATTATACTGGGAAATTACGGCTTCTTTTACTTTTACATTCGAAGATTCAATGAAGGCCAAGAAAGAAGGGATATATATTCGAAACAAGAGTTCATAAAAAATGGTGATGGAAATGACTTTCCTTTTAAGAAAATTACAGACTTTCTTCCAGGATTTATGGAAAATGATGTATGTTAAATAGTTGATCTTTAAATAATTCTAATGTTTATCTTCTTTAATAGGGAAAGTTCTTAAACTCCGAGCTGCAGAGTCTTACACTGAGTTTCGTTAAACAGGGCGTTCTAAAGCAAATTTTAACTGAAGGTGAAAAATACGTAATGTCTGTAAGCCCAGTGCTAACCTTCAGTGAACAAGCGACATATGATGTAGTGAATAACCTGGGAAGCTTGGCGGCGCGTTTCATTTTTAGACCCATAGAAGATAGTAGCTACTTTTTCTTTACACAAACTATTGCTCGTGATATTGAACTCCACAAACAAAATCGTGTAAGATTCCATGCATCACAAAAATCTGAAATTATTTTTTCTGATTACAAAATTTATAGGACAACATTTTACAAGCAGCAAAAGTTCTACGAAACTTGTCCTTAGCAGTTACATCCATTGGCTTATTGGCGCTAACTTTTGGTCAAAGTTACTCACATACTATACTTCTATTATATGGCGGGCCTGATTTTGTTGCTGGTGGGCTACCACAGCGGTTGCTGCAATGGCATTGTTTAGCTATATACTTCTTAGCTATTAACGGCATCACGGAAGGCTATATGTTTGCTACGAACACTAGCAAAGATATTGACAAATATAATTATTTAATGGCAGTATTCTCAGTTAGTTTTCTTATACTCTCTTACATTTTAACGAGCTGGTTAGGGCCAGTAGGATTTATATTCGCTAACTGTATCAACATGTTTTGTAGAATCTGCTACAGGTTTGTATACATTACATTCCATAAATTAAAAAAATCTTAATTTTCGCATATTTAGTACACGTTTCATATTTCGACAATACAAGCCGACAGGTTTGAACCCGCTGCTGGGCTTGCTCCCCGGAAAATGGTTTGCTATGACACTTTTGGCAACAGGCACATTTTGTAAATATTTGTCGGTAAGATCATGAAGTAGAAAAAGAGAAAAAAATAGCCATTTCGAGAATAAAATATTAATTTATTTATTTTTAGTACTGCTCAACACCAATTTTGGTATTCTTTATATATGGCTTTTTAAGTGTTGTTTGCTGTCTCATTGTTTGGACTATCGAAAACAGTGATCTGGTGAAATTGGCTTGGCGGTATGGACGACGTCTTAAAACTGATTGAACAAAATCGCTAATATATAATTAATTAATATGTAGTGCCTACCTAAGATTTACTACGATCCTAGCCCCAATTTATTTATTGCGAAAAAAATTGTTATTAGTTTGTGTAAATAATATTTTATTATTATTATTCACGTTAAATATACATCATTAAGCGCACCAGGTTTTGTATGTATGTATGTATCAAAATATATATGTGCATATTTATTTCGTTACATGTAACCATTTTGATTTGATATTGATTTTAATGGCTTCAATTCATTAATTAAAAATAGTTTATTGCGGACTGTGACAGTAAGCGGGTGTAAATTACTTAAACAAAAATCTTTATTTTTTAGGTCGTAGAATATACTTTCAGAGTTCAAGAGATTTTTATTTAGGCGGCTGCCATTCAGAAAATGGGATGAATGTGTGCTTCTTACGAGGAAACCACAGACGATTTTAGAATGAAATTGTCGCATAATTATTATTATTATTGTTATTATTATTATCTGAAAAGAAGTGGGGAACCACAACCTTACATGTTTTTGGAGCGCTAGTGCTTACACCTTTGGCTCTCTTATAAATATAAACAGTAATGTTAATTAACTATTGTGGTACTGGCTACATGATAACTAACTTTATATTAGAGTCTTCAACTCTGTTAAAATAAGATACTCGTTTATTTTTATTATCGATTCGGCGTCACTCTTCTTCAGGATGCTGGGAGGATTAGTGCTACTAAAGATGTTATGCCTTTTTGCGGAGAATTGTTGGCAAATGTCGAGTAGATGGGTGACGGACACTGAGGAGGCGTTGCAGAATTGGCATGTTGGTGGGCTCAGATCTTTAAGTTGGGAAGTTGGGCTTTTGTCCCTCCGTGTTGATCGAAGAATAGTGGTGGCGTGTATTTCTCCATTCGTCTTGTTTTATTTTAACGATGACTAAATTAGCCAGCCGGTAAACATCTTTGATGATAATATTTAGTGCAGTCGGGGGGTGCTTTGCTGCAAGTTTTGCTGTTATATCTGTAGCTTCGTTGCCAGGTATACCCACGTGGCTCGGAATGATTTTGATTTAGAGTATTTCGAATTGGTAAAGTTACGCAGTTGAGGGTTGTTGTATATTTGTTTGCTTGGATTGTGGACATGCTGTCGGTGCATACAATGTATTTACTACCCGTTTGGACTGCATATTGAATGGCTTGTAATACGGCACAGGCCTCGGTCGTATAAACAGAACAGAAGTTGAGCAGGCGTCCGACTTTGACGGTATTTAAATCCGAATCTACCACAGCAAACGCAGTTGTGGACGTTGTTTTTGACCCGTCGGTGTATAGGAACTTCCACCCTTGTTGTTTTAGATCTGCTGAAATACCTTCGAAGGTTTGTTGATACATTGCCGAGTTGAGCTTTTGTTTTTTAAGTGCATGTCCAGAATCAAGTGTTTCCGTGGTTCGGACCAAGGTACCGAGGTTGCTTGATGAACCTCTGGACTTCGTCCGTCAGTTCATATAGATGCCTCCTGACGTGCCTAGGCGAGGGCTCCTCTGCAAGCAGCTGTCTGTTTGGGTGGCCACTTCTGTGGCAGCTGTGTGATACGGTGGTAGGATGAGTTTGATGTTTTTATTCGCGCAGTGTCCGTAGATAGGCAGGCCGTAGTCAGTTTTAGACAAAATAAGGGCTTTGGTAGCGTTGATGAGAGTTGACTGACGAAGCAGTGCTTCGACGGTAAATATTTTATTATTGTCGCATACTTAATATTTCCCTTTTCCTTTAAACTTAGTTTAATTTAAATTTAACTGATTTTAAAGTTCATTATAACTGAAAAACTTGTTAAAGGCCAACGAAGATAAATGTATATCGGGTATCAAATTTTAATTCGGTTATACTAGTGTCTGAAATCGGTATAGGAGATACATTGTGAACAAGCATAAAAAGAAGAAGGAAGAATACTGAAGCCAAGTTGATTGTGATTTCGATTTTGATGTATATCGGTTTAATTGTTTAAAGTTTATTCTTCTCTACGGAAAAAATTATTTCTCGCAAAAAACTCTCAGTAAAAGTGAGAAGTATAATTTAAATTTATGTTTTAACTTGTGAATAGAAAATTTTTCACAAGATACAGAATTCTACTATTTTAGGCAGTACAGAAAAGCGGACTTAATTTATTAAAAGATGAAAAAAGTGGCTCGCTTGCGTATTCCACAGCAGGATGATGGTTCAAGCACAGGAGGTCAGGAACATGTAGGCGTGCGCACTACAGGCCGCATAAAAGTAAGACGTTTGCTGCAAAAACAGCAAGTGCACTCCAAACAATGATATGTACATGCATAAACTATTTGTTTTACAGAAACCCAAGGCAGTATTTGATCCGTCTGACAACTACTTGCCGCGTTCACAGCGCGCCAACATTGCAGCAACAGCTTATTCAAGCGGCACAGGATCACCAGCAAGTGGCACATATAACCAAACAGATCGTAAACGCGATACACCAACGTCAAATTTATTGCAAAACCAAGACGCGCAACAAAACAAACGACTATCACAATCTTCTACCGCTTCGGGCAGTACAAACGCTGGGTCGACACCTGAAATAGCTACCGCTGATGTTTGTGATGTGTGCCAAAAGCGCGAAGCAAAGCGTGGTACTCACGCCAAGAATAAACTGATTACTTGTTTGCAATGTGAAAGACGGGTGCATAAATTGTGTTTGCCAGTTGATTTCGAGGATGTTGATGTTCTACGTCAATACTACAAGTGCGAAAATTGTCGCAAGTGCGACCTATGTGATGCGTTTGCTGACTGTGAACCCAAAATTAATGTAAGTCCTTAATTTTACTCCAAAAAAAATTGGCCAATTTCATCATTAGAAAAAATAGTTTCTTCTAAAGCAAATCTAAATCTCTATCATATCACTTGTATTTAAAACTTCTAAATGAGCGAAGATAGTGGAGCCGCACGCAAAGCGACTAGCATAGCTGTTGGACCTACAAATCGACCCAGATTTACATATATGTATCTAGTCAAAGGCAGTCACTCCAGTGGCATTTTCCGAGAAATCTTTAGGAAAATTTTATTACCATTAAAATCTTAGTATCGGGTAAAGAGTTGATTGTAACCTAATATTGTCGTACGACCGCATATGGTTAAAACCAAAGTGTAGCTAGCGCAAAACAGCATGCTTTTTCAGCAATTTTTGATACTATTTCCTTTAAAGGTGTTTGTCTTTAAGATATAAACATTAATAATTAAAAATCATATTGATATACATATATACATAGGTACACTGCCGGAACAAAGTATTGGCACGGCAAATTTTTCACAATATATGCAACAATTTTTATTCTAATATTTTTCCGCCGATTGTGTATAAAAATATGGTTCATTCAACAACAAAAACATAAAAATATAATTCCTAAACTTTGTGCAAAACTGGCGAAAATTCAGCAAATTTTCATCAAAATTTTAAACTTTTTAATCAGATTTTTTAGAATTTTATTTGAGTATGCAGTTTTGTAGCCCATTAAATTCTAGTAAAAAAATGCAAGTTCGCAGTTAGTGAAAAATCGCGTTGATTTTTGAGAACTTTTTTTGTTGAAGGTGTTTTGCATTTGTATGGAAGAGACTGCGTGAAAAAAATTGCCAAAAAGCAACGGTAATTCCTAGCTACTTAAAACTTGCACCTTATTATAATAAAATTGATTGGGCTACAAATCTGCATACTCAAAAAAATTCTAAAAAAATCTGATTAAAAAGTTGAAAATAGTACAAAGATAATTATTAGTATTCTATAGAATTCTCCATTCCACAAAAACTATACGTGAGTTCTACAAATTTTCAATTATAAACAAATCCATTTCTAACAAAAAAATAATTTATGCACATACAGTATCGGTCATATCTATAGCACGCCATTTCCAAGTGATATTGTGTGCCACTTATGTTTATTTATTTGGTTTTAAGAATTTTCAATTAAAATACAGTTCTTTCTCTAACAAACCCCATATAAACCCAAGTTTAACAATTTGTAGAGAACTTCAAAAAAGTGCAACAAATTTTCACCTAAGTTTCAAACTTTTTTCTCGGAAGTGTTAGAATTTTTTCGAGTACACAGTTTTTTAGCCACTGCAATTTTAGTCCGATAATGTGCAAATTTCAAGTGGCTACGAATAACCGTTAATTTTTTAGAATTTTTTTTTGTCGCATTGGCTTCCATATAATGAATAAACTCAATTTATTTGTATATGGATGAAAATCGCACCGCCTTTGGAGAAAAAAATTCTAAAAAATCAACGGTAACTTTCAGTACCTTGAAACTTGCACATTATCAGACTAAAATTGATTGGGCTATAAAACTGTGTAATCAGAAAAATTCAAACACTTCCGAGAAAAAAAGTTTGAAATTTAGGTGAAAATTTTTTGCACTTTTTTGAAGCTTTCTACAAGTTGTTAAACTTGGGTTTATATGGGGTTTGTTAGAGAAAGAATTGTATTTTAATTGAAAATTCTCAAAAATAAATAAATAAACATAAGTTGCACACAATATCACTTTGAAATGGCGTGCTATAGATATGACCGATACTGTACATATGGCTGCGTTTCTTTATACATTCCGGATAATCCCATTTCACAGCCGGAATAAACAGAATGCGTTTGAAATATAAGTCAACATATCATCAGGAACGTTCTAAAGAATAAATAAACAAAAAAGCTTATTCCAAACGTTCAGAATGAATAAAGAAATGCAGCCATATGTATCTTGAATTGAATTATGCTGGATTTCCACTAGGCATTAAATGGCAAAAATGACAAATGACAAAGTCGGCTATTAAAAAATAATCGTGTGATTACATTAAAAAAATAGTAATTGGATTAATTTCCACATGCCATTTTTTTAAATGGCATACATTTTTTGTCATTTCAATGCCTAGTGGAAATTCGTCATTATGGTTTTTAACCATGTATTACTCATACAATTGCTAATCTCTTCCCGCCGCTCCACTAAGTTCTTTGCATAAAAGATGAAAAATATATAGTAATTTTCCTGCATTTTACTCTAGCAACCAATGGTTACATGTTCTAAATGTGTAAAATCTTACCATCTTACGTGCCACATTCCCAATGTGTACAAATTTCAACAAATTTTTCGCTGGAAATGCAATAAATGCCAGCCGAGCATTAACAATGTTTCTGATTTGCCTGTTAAAACCATACGAGAAATCATTGGTGATGAACCACAGCGAGCGATTCGAAGCCAACTGATTCAACAACAGCAACAACAGCAAAATGTAAGCATTGCCGCAGCGGCGGCAGAAGCAAAAAGTACTGCTGCAAAATTGTCACTTCAAGAAACTCAAAAGAACGGCGAGAACGGACAGAAACAAGACAATGGAGGGCCGGAAACGGATGCTAGCTACTTGGAAAGCGGTGGTAGTAGTACAACAAGCAGCAGTAGTACGATTAGTGGAAACACTGCCAGTAGTAGTAGCGAGGAAAAAGTTGCTGACGTCACAGCTTCCAAAAGGCCAAAGCCAAACCATGATGAGACCGTTAATATTACTCCGGCTATACGTTACAGCCCCTATGAACCGATTGATGTACCGGATGTAAAAGACTGGAATGTTGATCAAGTTGCTTCATATTTTGCGAAGTATTTCCCAAAAGAAGCCCACGTTTTTAAGGAACATGAAATTGATGGCACTTCATTGCTATTACTTAAGCGTAGTGATGTTATTAAAAAACTGCCCATTAAATTAGGCCCATCGCTGCGCATATACAGTTTAATACTGAAAATTCAGACCCAATTAAATGATCCCACTTTAGGTTGGAACTGTGGGCTTTAAGTGTAGCGTATAAAAACAACTATATATTTGTCTTTAAACTATTACCAACCAATATTCTATAATTTTTCTACAAATTTCTTGAATTAATATCCGCCTTATTAACGAAGACTCGTTTCAGGTGTTTTTCTTTGTTTGTTTTTTATTAGTTTAATGTTCATCTACTTATGTCCATTCATATATGTACATACATATATATGTATACATATTCCACATGCGCTTCCCTGCAAGAATTTATACCAGCTTAGAAATAGTCACGAGTCTAGATTTGGGTGACGGGTACTGATGCTAGTCCATGCAAATAACTGACCAATTTAACATGGCATAACCTAGGACTGTTTCGAAACCAGTGAACAATTTTCAGTCAATTCAGACTGTTGCGAATAAGATTTATTTGGAATACTCCTCCAGTGCATTACCTAATCCCAGTTCGATACTGTTTTGAAAGGACTGCTTTCAGTTACATCCGAATTAGAGATGGCGCGGAATATCGGGACCCGCGGGACCCACGGTACTCATTTCAAATTGATTGGGATTGGCGGTATCGAGAAGGTCTATAAAAATTTTGCCGGCGTGACGGGACAAAATTCTATTCTGACACTCCCGATAAAACCGCAAACTTAGAAAATCTTCCTCAAAATCGATGTATGTATGAAATATGCCGTTTTTATGTTTTATTGAAACGAAAAGGAACAGCAGCACAGCAAAACAAAATAATCGGAAGATGCTAGATCTTTCATTATATTTTTTATTTTTTAAAATTCATTTGAAAGACATGTGCATTTTTCTTAATGATAGATCTCGTGACCGGCGGTACAATCCGGTAAAACGTCGGGATGGCCAGGTTCGGGACTTAGAAATTGAATTACAGGATGAGCGGTATCGGGATTAAATATTTAGGCCCGTGCCCATCTCTAAACCGAACTATTTACTCTAAATAAACTAAAAATTTGATACCAGTTGCTTCTTGCAGGGCGACGTCAGCTCGGCATATATACACATATGTATGTGTGTATGTAGTAGTTACACGCGATATATACGTTGGCACCGTTCTGAAAAGCGGCAGTATAAGATGTTTGCAAGAATTGAATTTATAATCATTTCCAGTGTAAAATCAATGAGAATAAAAATTACTGTTAAAACTACAAAAAAAAATTGTTATTTAATAATTTGGATCAAATACGATTACCTATACATAGAATATTAAAAAATTCTAGAGCTAGTAGAACTATTTCTGACCAAACTGTAGGCAAGCGATATTTTGAACATTGTGCTTTTTTTATCAGCAGAAAACTGAATTTAGAGTAGCAAACCCTGCTTTGTTTCATCAAAACCAGTTTCATGAACCTATTAAAATTCTTGCGCGTAGTTTTTAGATATTGGGGATGTTTGGCGAAATAGAAGGCTGAAAGTCTCCATAAAGCTTGTTGTGGAGTTGTAACTTAAAAAACCGTCTGTCTTCGCCATTAAATAAAAAACTCAAGATGTCAGCGGCTGTGTGTTCAATGTTTGAAGCAGTACATTGGGCCCTATGAATAAAAATAAGCAATTGCTTTTTCTTAAAATTTCAGATCTTTTACTCAATTTATCCAAACAAAATTGAAGTAAAAGGTATGAAATTTTAAGAAAAAGCAATTGCTTAGTTTTTATTCATACGGCCCATTAATAGATTGGTGGACAACGATTCATCATGGAGGCAAATATATAAATAAAAAAATGTAAATATACATATCGTCGATGTTTTTGCAAAACCGCCCATCGACCAATTGCAAAACACAACAACGATATAAATTCATTAAATCTTAAAACTCACAACTGCCTCCACCGCGATTTGAACTCGCGACCAACGCTGATCTACTTTCACAGTAGGGGTATTCTCTGAGTCTTGCAAAGCCCTTGCACGGTGCACGGATTGCACGGTTTGCAAAGCTGTCCCATACGAAAACCGGTTTTTACTGTGCAATCTGTGCACCATGCAAGGGCTTTGCAAGACTCAGAGAATACCCCTATTGTAAGAGAAGTAAGAATTTATATACTTACACCGTAAATTTCAACTGTCCCGCTCTACATCCGTTTTGCACTAGTTCTGAAATTCGGCGTAAAACTGTAGGTCCCTCCTCTTCGTTTGACAACATCAAGGCGCACGCTACAAATCGGAGGAGAAGCTCGGCCAAAGACTAACATGTGTGTAAGAGCCAATCTATTATAATAATTATTATTATTATTATCTAGGCAACTGAGCAGACGGACGTAGACCCGAAAAAGGCGGGGCTTAGTAGTGCCGCTACAACAACAACAACAACAGCAGACGGAGCGAATAATTGTACCTGCAAAATATATTCATCTCGGTTGTTTTTATAACAAATTTTATTTTATACATCAGACTTAGTATATTTTAAATAAAAACATTCATACAATAATTAGAAATTCAGATATATTTGAGTAAATGTTTAATTTAATTAATTAAAGAATAAGCTTAGGTCACAAAAAGTTTTTAAACAAGAATAAAACTTTCGTAAACAAGTAAACCTTATTCTTCGCAATTTTAATAATAACCCTTTTAAGTCTAAATCTAACCAATATCAATATTTAAGTATGTAGTAAATACTGTAAATAAATTTTAAAAATCGATTTTTCTGTCAAACATCAGCAATTAAACTCTGGGTAAAAGTTTCTCCTCATCTTCTGATTTCGTATCATTCTTTTGGGCAGATGCGACTGTCGTCTGCCTAGAGCTTGCAGCTGATTTTTTAGGATCATAGCCGTACAGGAATATGGATGCGATTACTAGTCCCGCACCCACTGCAAAACGCGTTGTTAATTTAAAGTCGAAAATATAGATTGAAGCTATACACGAAACGACAATAGCTAAAGAGGTGGCGAAACCTTTTAATATGTTATCTGCATACTTGACTACGACGGCAACAATTAAGCCACCGCCGGCCTGTAGAAATATCAAATACCAAATGAATAAATCATAGCCATAGAAAAATCCGACACTGGCAATTTGTCGCCCATCGTTAATGAAGCAGGTTAGCAAGCCAAATGGTATACTAAGCAAGCTGAGTTGAACGTTGCGCATCCATACGGATATGTCGGCACCTTTAAGAATTTTTTCGAAATAAATTCCAGCGAAGCCAGACAGAAAACAAGCGCCAAGAGCTGCCCACAATCCAAGCATGCGATTTTGTTCCGGTCCAGTTGGTGGTGCGCTTCCTACATTATCGTCCACTGTTTGCGCTAATTGCACCATTACAACGCCTGCAATAAGTAACACTAATGCGCCCCATTGTGTATGAATCAGCCGTCGACGTAAAATAAATACTGCAAACATTGCAGTAGTGAGAATCTTCAGTTGATAGGTTACTTGATAGGTCGCCGCATCCAGATGCGAGGCAGATACATATAGCAAATTATTTTGTACAATATATACTAGAGAGGGGACGCACACTTTCAAAGTGTCAACCGGATTCGCAATAATGGTTTTGTGCAAAGTTCGTACAAATTTTTGCGCGTCCTTACCCTCTTCATTGAAGACTAACACAAGGCAAGTGAGTAGTTTGACCAACTCGGACATAAGCACAGCTAAAAAAAAAAACAAAAATATTCGAAAATATTAGAATAAATTTGGCTCTATTACGAAAATTATACAGAACATGGATAAATTCAACAAATTTTCACCTAAATTTTGAACTTTTTAATCTGAATTTTTAGAAACATTTTGGGTACGCAGATAGATCGGTTATGTAATTCTAGTGAAACAAGTGAAAGAAAGTTTTATGCGGCTAAATTGTGGTAAAAATACTTAAAATATTGCAAAATAAATAAAAGAAGACTTCAATAATGTAAAAACAATTGTTATTTTGTTCGAAAATTCAAATATCCGGTTAATATCCGTTATTTTGTTATCCGGGTAAACGGATTTTCGTAATTAGAAATTCGAATATCTAAAATGTCCGTATAGTTAAAAATCCGGATAGAACCCCGGAAATGCGTGCATGTCGTAATGTGCGATGTGAGATATGTACTCGAAATTTATGTATATAACAAGTGCTGCTAAAAGCAAAAATAGGTATGTCCTCTTCTGATTAGAAACAGGAAATGTTTCTTATCAGCAAAGAATTTTGATTGCGATTACGCATATGCCGCGCTTCATGTAAAAGTGTCAATGAATCAAAACAAAAAAAAAACAAAAAAATATTTAGTAATGTTTACTAAATTCAGTTACATATGTATCTACCTGTGGTGCTTATGAAAATTTCACCGGGCCGTATACGTGCATATCGCATACTAAGTCCAAGTATCGCATTTTGCAATGTTAATGTGATTAAGCTGATGTATTTCAGCGTGTTGGCGTTTACTAAAAGACAGAATTTTGTAAAGATATTTGTAAATAGTGAACAATACGGAAGTAACCACATCCGTTTCGTATGTATTGACTTACCGTGTATATTCATGGCAGTTGTTGGAATAGAATTTGAGGTCATGGAAGTATGGCTAGGAATTAACACTACGACCGATGAACTTCCACCAAGCCCTTGACCACGTCCAAAAACCTGTAAATAATCAAATACGAATTGCAAATTTTAGTATATACGATCCATACTGTTTATATCTTCTAATTTCTGCCCGATATATCTTCGTTTAGTTGGTTGCTGTTAGCACAGCAGAGCAGACACGTAAACAGAAAAATCACCTGAAGATAAAATGCCGCAAAAGCAGCGCCTACAACACAGTACAACAAATAAAAGGGAAGCGAAGAATGCTGCACATTGCTCAGTGGCAAAACGCAAATTGTGGGGAGTAAACAAACAAGCACAATCTTTCGCTGATTAATAAAATAACCAACGGCGTTGCATTTTATTGCAGGCGGCCACTTTAGTGAACAGTTTTTCTATAAGGGTCATTAACATTTTAAATATTTTTTGTTTTTTACTAGGAACAAGCTATGCAGGAAATACATATATTTCCTTGTACGAAAGTTTACAAATCCATAATAAAGTTAAGCTATTATATAATAAGCATACATACATCCATATGTATCAGTATGTACTTACATCCTCCATCGCCTTTCCCATTTTGCTGAAAAACTTTTAGGCCGTTGTACGTTTTTATACAGTATAGGTACCTCTGTTTAAATATGCCACTTTCCCTTTTTACTTCCGTAAAAATCTTTATCTATAAAATAATATATGTATATATATATATATGTATTTGACTGCGCTTTCGTGCGCCCTAAGCGAAACTGAGCCATTTTTCAACTACTGCGCCAATCCAAACGCCACATAATATTTAATCAAGTGTTTCTTGTGAGCATTTATAAAAAGCGAAAAATGCTAATCTACACAATTCCATGAATGTTTATCAGTATATTATCTCGAAGTAGATACCTTTGTATGTGTGTTTAACACTGATACCTGTTATTGTTTGTGTGCTCTCTTTAAAGTTCAAGTTAAAGAAGCAGTTGTTATAGTTTAGTGTTCTAGTTACCGACAACTTTGCTTGCGTCTTTCGCTTCGGCGGTTTAATCGAATACTTCGACGAATAGACGGGGGAAACCAGCCAACAAAGGAGAATCTTATCGGCCGATAACACTCCTCTCCCCGGTAGCGTAGACACTATAGGCTCTGCTGCTCCCGTATTTCACGAACCACCTGACCCCTGCGAAGCATCAGCATGGTTAGACTTAGAAAAATAAAACAGGGGGTTCCACAGGGTGGCGTCCTTTCCCCGCTACTGTTTAACTTTTACATTTCAAAGCTCCCTCAACCACCAGAGGGAGTCTCGATTGTCTCTTACGCCGACGATTGCTCGATCATGGCGACTGGGAATGGAACTGATGACTTGTGTTGGAAAGTAAACGGGTATCTCTCCGAGCTTTTTCGCTTCTTCACTGCAAGGACCCTAACCCTCTCCCCTACAAAAGCCTCTGCGACCTTGTTCAACACCTGGACGAAGGAGATCAGGCAACCGCTGGGGATTCACGTCGATGATACACCAATTCGGACGGTAAATAACCCCAAAATACTCGGAGTAACCTTAGACAGTCTGGCCTCCTCTGCGCATACAACCCCTATTGTCATCAAAGTACGGAGCCACAACAAGGCCCTCAAGTCGCTAGCCGGCAGTACTTGGGGCAAAGATAAAGAAACGTAGCAGGATGCAAAGGATGAAGCTGCAGACGACCCAAAACACCGCACTACGGAACGCCACCTGCACGACGAGGCTAAATTGCTTCCGGTCAAGAAGCACGACACAATGATCTGCAAGCTGTTCCTTGTTAGGGGCCATAGACGTGCTCACCCCACTGGGCAGCTGCTTGCAGAAGAGCACTCGCCCAGGCACGTCAGGAAGCACGGTGCAGCGAACAAAGGTGGCGCCGTCAGTGGTACCACTACTTTGGTTTTGCCGATTTTGACAGTTGTAGTAATTTGTAAATAAACCTTTGTTTACAAATCAGCGAAAGAGAAATTTGAATTATAAGTGAAAAATCAGTTTAAATTGTGTTAATTTGCAATTTGTGAGTGATTTTTGAGTAGAAGACTGCGTGAAAACTAATAAAATGAAGTGCTGTGTGTTAAATTGCGACAGCCATCAAGATGCAAGATGCGTAGGTGCAAGTGTAGCGCTGGGACGAATCGCTGCATTTTGGGTACATAGGGCACGGCAAAACCGCTCTCGAAATGTTTCTTTATTATGCCATTAACAGCATTTCCTCACAATGATTTTGCTTCTGCTCCAAGCATCCTCCATTAGCAAGTTAACTAATCAATCCCGCTGAGATGCTGCCGCAGTTTTCTGCAGCAGCCTTAATTGCAAAGCATTGGAGTCCACCGAAACGTTTGCTGAAGCAGCCTCAATTGCAAGGCAATGGAGTGCACTAAAATGTTACCTATTTTCTAATAGATTAGGTAAACGTTTTTCGCTGTAAGGTGAACTGTTTTTGGCAGTTTCAATTCGTTCTTATTTTCGCTCTATTCTTTGTTTAGTTGTGGTACACAAATGTCAACGCCCAGGACGGCGCAATCTTGTATTCTATCATTCTTGGTCACGAGGCCTCTGTACGAACTGACGGATCAAAGTAAAAATGTGACATTTCTCGTGGTGAATACGAACGTCAGAATTTTACCTAGCTCGTGGGGCTAGGTAAGCTGAAATAACATAAAAAAGCGTACGTTACTTGCAAATTATAAAATAAATATAAATTTTAAGAATTTCAGCAACACACAAAAATAAAGCTTTCGCACGAGCGTTTGTATGGGTTTTCAACTGTCAAAATTTTACTATGCATTTGGCACAGCAAAATTCAATTTATTTGTACTACACCATAGCAAATTTTTCCATCCCGTCTCACCACGGAGAAAAAAGTTACCGATTGGCACAGGCCCTTAGAACGAATTGAAGCATCACAAAAACATGGTAAGTATTGCGAACCGCGATGCAGACTTCAAAATTTCTAAAGCGCTGGTTATACTTGCAATTTACACATATGGAATCTGTTTAAAGAGCTTTGCATACAAGCGATTATCCGATGCAGATCATGACCGGGCATGACAGCGAAGTCTAGACAATTTAGATTTTTCGCTATGTGACATGTTCCAAGAGTGGCTCCGCTCTTATTGCTCTCATAAGTCTGTTCCAGTACCCATCAGAAATCCTGCAGAACTGGAACAGACTAACTGATTACACTGAACAGCTGATTCTTGGAGTCTATGCGTTCCATGCCGAGTATAAGTACACCACAGCTTCACATGCGCTGCTTCTCTATGCCCTGCACTTGCAATGTAAGAATAACCACGCTTAAATAATTTGCGATCCTCATCACGATCCATCAATATTGCATGCTAACACCTCAATAAATACTTATCGTGTGATAGGGCCCATAGAAAAGTAAAGAAACAAAGCTATTATTAACAGCTGGCCGCTGAACTTGGCATTTTGTGGGTTTTTGTCAGTTTTTGCTTAAATTTTATTCAACAATTTAAAAATCTATAATTTCCTGAGAAAATGAATATAACAAATACAGAGGAATATTCGGTAATCCATTACTTATAAATAATAAATGGTATTTTGTGTATACATACATGACCTTTTTCTTTTACCTATAGAATCCGGAGAAGAAATCGCTTGACAAGCTTGTATTTCGGTTATCGGCTGAAGATGGATTACCACCTCAAACAATTCCTGCTTTAGTAATACCATACCAATATTTTAAATTACATTATGATAAATTCCTTCTAAATTTCACATATTTCTAGCACAAACACTGGGCACGACGGGAAAATTTTTGTACATATGTAGGACTAATGACACAATATGGTCGCGTTAAAAGTGGCGTTGAACTAGAGGAATGGCAGTACAATGCAAATCTATTTTCCAAAGATATGAATTTCTTGCTAAATTGCCACCATCATGAGTAAGTGAAATATGATTTCTAGTTAAGATTAAATAAATTAGCTGGTTTTCAGATTTTGGTCATATATGGTTTTTCAAAAGACGGCATTAGCAGCCGTTGTTTCGTTTTTACAAAAATCAACACCATTTTATTTAAACGTTTGGTCACAGCTCGTTCAACAAAAAACAATTATCGAACTTTATGAACAAATACTGGAACTGGTACTCCGTATTGTTTGTCGTCTTATAACCAATCGCGAGTCTGATGAAGCCTGGCTTACTATTGACCATCAGCGGGAGTTAATTTATAAAAACTTTTTAATATCAGTACCAATGTTATTCGACATCCTAATGGCTGTGGGAGATGCGGATGCACAAAACACTGCCGTACTCCGACGTATCTTTGATTCACTCCTACGCATTGAACCCAATTACAAACAGGATCTTCTAGCCGCGTTAGTATTTTTTCGCACCGCTTTTCGTAGCATTCAAACACAGGCAGAAAATGAGGGCTTCGAAGGCGCAGGAGGAGGTGACTTAGATGAAAGTGCCGAGACTCCGTACGACGATGTTGCGCTCTATACCTTAGATTGTGCCTATTCATTGAGTGTTCTATTAGAAGTTTGTCCAACAGTCCAGTCCATTTGCGCTGAAATTAAATTGGGACAGAGGTATATACAATAATAAAAATCATGTACATATGTACGTACTTGTTAATGTTATTTTTTATTTTATTTATTTTAGTATTGCACAGTTCTATGATAACACGGTTCCTTTTTTGTACAAAAACATATTTCTTATTAATGAGGCCGCTGCTAGTTTAGGCTGGATCAATGTGGCACGATTACAATATCTAAAGGCATTTCGAAGTATTGCCTACAGTTTCATTGAATCAGTTCTGGCGAAACCGTAAGTATAATGATTTATGTTATTATGTATGTAATATAGAAAGGCCCTACATCCTTTTTGATTGATTATGATGCATTTCATCAAATTATGTATCCACATCGTTTTATGCAATAAGAAATTTTAGTTACGGCTTGTTTGGATTAAAGCGTCGATGTGAGATAGGGCCTTTCTGTAGTATGGTATAAGTACATTGATACATATGTGTGTATAATTTTTTACTTTTATTTTTTGATATTCTGCAAAGTTTGCAAATTAACCCAGAAAAAACAGCGAAAAAGCATTGTTCCTATTCAAGAGCATGAAAGTGTATGCATATACGCATACATATCTGTGCCGTTCAATTAAAGTAGTCTAAGTCGTGAAAGGCCATTTTCCCTGTAAAGCAACATTTCATTGGGTTTCCAAACAATATTTTAACGTTTAATTAGCCACATGTGTGGTTCAAGATGCCCTTTTAATAGAAGCTAAACAATAATATAAAAATTTTCAAGGGAAACTGATTATTTTTTAATTCAAAGTCAAACCGTCTTAACAGGGCTTCGGAGCAGAGTTTTTTTCTATCGCTCCAAGCTCCAGTATTTTATTTCGCTCCGAGCTCCGCTCCCGCTCTAAATAAAAAAAACGTTTACTATATATTTAATTATCTGACATTTTTTCCCAATTTTCTTTTTGATGCAGAACATAGTTATATAGCTACATATTGTGTAGGTTCAGAAGGCGTGATAGGAATGCATCTTCTAAACGGCTTGATACATTATCTGTCAAATTCAAAACACACAACATGTTGTCTCAAATGATCAGAAATATATTACGATATTCTAACACGCTACTGTTCAGTTGATCAGAAGTACAAAACAACGCGATCAGAAGGTGCAATCGCAACAGTTACTGAGCTGTTGTGCTTTCTGAACGTGCCCATTTCTTTGTGTATTTTGTCATGTAAATAAAATGGCAGATATTAATCCAGCCCGGAAAAATCCGAAAAAAGAAAAAGAAAGTGGAGGAAATGCGGATTTTTGTCCGTTTACCGATTCCATTTTGGGATACTTTAACGATCTGTTTTTCTCGTAAAGAGTGCGGCAGAAATATATATACAGTAAAGGCATGAAACAAAAATACAAGATCATGCGGGCAGGAGAGTAGCCCGTTAGAATCGCATTTAGGAAAATAGTTTAACGATTTTGACATTAGCCGTTTGTTTACATTTCTTCGTTGTTTACAATTTGGCTGCAATTTTCTTCATTTTGGCCTGTGACAACGTGTGTATACATAAGGCAAAGAATAATTTAACACAACGGCATGATTTATAGAAGAATTTGCATAATAAAAATAATTATTTATGCGTTCAACAATTTCGCGGTTTTCTCCGTTCTCTTCGTTGTTTACTTCTTATAACAAAGATGGCGTCGAGATTTCCGCAGCTAGAAAATAACTTTTTTCTTTCTTTCCTTCCCGCGTGATCTTGTGTCTTTCGTTGATGCAGTAAAGGGTTGCAAGAGTTAACGCATGAATTCATCCCATAACTCGAGTCTAGCGCCGCTGTTGAGTTGAAACGATCATTAAGCAGTGGTTGGTGGTGTGAGTTCGTTTGTTTATGTAATTAATTAACAAGTTTACCCGCTAGTAAAAGACAAGAACTCACATATTTTCTAAGTATCTGTATTCAACTAGTTTCAGCTTAACAGCGGCGCTAGACTCGAGGTAATTACGCTCTTTAATATACAGACAAGAACCGAAAATTGTTTTGAAACGGATTCGCTTCTGGTTAGTTTCCTTCTACACTTCACAGATGCTTTTTCATGATTTGAAAAAAAAAATCGCCTGACGGCATTCGAACCCGACACCTTCTGAAAGCTAACAAATACTAGCACGCTCTCCTGCACGCTCAGTCACAGCCACCTACGTATACATGCTTTCAAATGTCCAGCTTGAACAAATAAAATACAAATAATGCTTTTAAATAACATTACGAAGGCTTATATTCACTACCCTCTATCTGTACTTGGTACACACTTTGTAGAATATATAAAAAAAAAAATTAATAAGTACAGTACCGGACAAAAGTATTGGCACAGTGACCTTTTCGCAATACAAGCAAAGTTTTTGTGCTTATTTGTTTTCGATATTTTTTTGTATATAATTGTAGTTCATTCTACACCAAAGAACATAAAAATAAAATCTCTAAACTTTTTGCAAAACTCAGGAAAATTCAATAATTTTGCATACTAATTTGCAACTTTTTATACAGGTTATTTAGAAAAATTTAATGCAGTTTTATACCCCATTTAATTTTAGTACAACAAAGTGCAAGTTTGGAGTTGTTAGAAAATAGCGTTGATTTTTGACAATTTTTTAGTGGAAGTTTAGAGTAGATACAAATTACATACAGTTAATTTTTATTTTTTATTTTTTTACGTCGATCTCCGCAATTTTTTTCCTATAAAAAAAAATGCGAACTTGTGTTATATGGAAAATTTGCGGAAGAGCGTCAGTAAAAATAAATTCTGTACGGTAGGTTGTAGCTACTCCAAACTTTCATTATTCATGTGCATGGAGTGTACATACATACAGCTATGTTCAGAGATTTAACACCAAAATTCAAACTGATATTGTTTGCAACTTACGTTTATTTATTTACTTTTAATAATTTTAATTTAAAATTTAATTCAACCAATTACAGAAACCAGAGTTGAGGGTAGTCAGTGGCGGATTTTCCCTAAGGCCGGGGCCTAGGGCGACAACATACATATTAGGGGCTGCAAAAAAACACACTGGTGGTAAAGACATGCGAGACCCAAAATAAATACGTGTAAACTCAATATAGCGAAACTTAGCCCGTAAAAACTATAGGTTGTTTACGCTTATCTGGTTATAAGGTTATACTTATGACATATTGAACAACATCTGGTCGTTTTGGCTAGTGCTATCATCGGAAATTCCCCTGATCCGCATTAATTTTGGAGACTACCTGCAAGACTTATTCCGGTTCAACTGCAGTTAATTCTGAATAAACGAGTTGATCGCGATATATGCTGCCGCCTGTCTATGCATTAACCCCGCTTTGATAGCTTAACTGAAAGTTGCTGGAAAGATATCCATACATCTGTGAGACCTTTCAATTTTGCGATAACGGCAATGAAATTTCGTTTTGCAGATATGGGTTCTTAAAATATTTCCTTTTAATATTTATATGTATTTTACTTAGATACTTAACTAAAAAGGAACCCGAAAGAGAGCGCGAAAATTTTAAAGCGCAGACGTGTGCAGATCAGTGCTGGCCAAAAGGAAAAAAGTCTTAAAATGAGAAAGTATTAGTTATGTTGCACAAAAATGAGAATGTGTTGGTGGTAATGCACGGAAAGAAATTCTGTGTCCTATTACTTATTTATTATAAAAAGTTGTATGTTTTTTAGCGTTTTTTCATTGGGTGGTATTTTTTAGAGCTAAACAACATAGAAACATAAAACATACAAAGAAAGTTAACGGACCTAAGAAAGAAAAAGGTTGGTAAAATTTTGTATGCATATGCGACATCAACCTAATGTTTGCATCACAGTATATACAGTAATAAACCTTTTCGTAGTTTTTGACCAATTGGTCCCTGAAAATACTTAACATCAAAGTATAGAATATCACAAATATGAATCATACACACATACAATAGAAATTGCCATGAATTGCTACCGTATAAATTCAGGACATGCATTTGCTTAGAGACTCCGTTGGTTATGGTGGACATAAGTTCAGCCAGCACATTCAATGGTCCATTACCCGGAGCTGCTCCAACATGAAGAATAGATTTTAGTGAGCCTCACAATCAACTGCCTCTGGCTACAAGCTCAATATCTGAAAATTAGAAAATAAATAGCAATTATCTATTAAAATTAAAAGAAAAGTGTTTGTTTACAATATTACCCATGATAAAAACATTACAAGATAAATTTATTCTCTCAATTCGTCGGCCATGATTTTTTTCTGATGTTTACAAGCATTTTAAAATCATATATTGAAAATAAACAAAAATGAAATTGCTCACAATTGTTGTTGTTTGAGATTGAAAATGAGAATGTGTGTGTGAGTTTGAGTCTGGAATTTTTAAAATATATTGCTGCCAAACATCTGACTGTCTCACAATGGTTTTACCTTGTTATGTTTTTATCATGATGTTACCACTGCCACTCTGCCATAGTACGGTTGTTGGTCCCTTTCATACCACAGTAATTTTGTATACGACTCTGAAACATCAAAATTCATGCTCCTTCTCATTACACTGTGAGACAAATGGTAGGGGTCAGTGATCGGGAAGGGTTCAAACTACCGGGGAAAGTTATATCGGTAAAAAATAAGTTATACGTGTCCCGGCGTTTCGCTGGGTCACGTCTAGGAATCGACCACCACTAGTCCGATTTTGCTCAACCAAATTAAAAAAAATTAAAAATTACAATTCTTTTAATCTGTCCATATAACGTTTTTCTATATAATCAACAGTTTTGCCGGTAAAAATAAATGTATGAAGAAAAAAAATATTTTTTGCCTAAAATATTAAATTTTTTTAAAACTGTTGATTATATAGAAACACGTTATATGAACAGATTGAAGGAATTGTAATTTTTATTTTTTTTAAATTTGTTTGAGCAAAATCGGACTAGTGGTTCTCGAGTTATGTCAAAAAAAGACCACCAAAGGTGACAATTTCCCCTATATGATAGTTATATATATATCTCGATTCCTAGACGTGACCCAGCGAAACGCTGTTTTTGACCGATATAACATTTCCCGTTGGTTTCATCCCATCCCGATTTTGACTGTCGCATAGTGTTATCAACCCTGATCAGATTTTACCCCCGAGGAGTACACAAAATTTTTTATGACTGTTATACTGTGGTTTGTATGCAACTAAATAAAATTTGTTGCTCTTCTACTCTTTCTGTTGACGTTCGGATTGTATACGTGTAATGGTCTGATTATGGCAACTTAATGTAACTTACAGGCTCTCACTTAGACATTCTATTAAATGTATAGGTGCAATCCCGTATTCCTCGGACTCGGACTAGTAAAACTGTCAAAAAATAAAAATTCGCTCAGAACGAGAGAGTAACATTGAAAAGTACGGGATCGCTTTCTAGTAAAAAATTTTAACTTCTGTCAACTTCAACATAACCTCCAAATTTGGGTTGTAAATTTTTGCTTATTTTGTATGTAAACACACTCAGTTCACACATGTAAATAGCCAAAAATACTTTCAAATTCATTAGAATCCACTTAAACAAGTAATTAAATACTTTTCAACATGAATAAGTCGAGTGCACTTTTCTTTTGTTTACAATTTGGTTGCCAAACACACTACAGCTGATCGTTTGACACATTTACCAGAATTTACCAGCAATAAATTCTCGGACTAAAACTGGTAACTTCTGACAGAGAGAGAACCGAATTGTCCTCTCAATAGTCAGAGAACCGAGTACGGGATCGATTTCCAGCAAAATCTGACTGATTCTGACTATTTCTGACTAGTCCGGACTCGTACGGGATCGCAACTTATGTTGCTTATAATTGAACAGCCGAAACTTAACCGTAACGTAATGCCACGTCGAATCTGTTGTTTTGATTTTCTATGTTCTACTACGTCCGGTTAAGTTGCCATAATCAGGCTTTAAGAAGCCGATTGTGTACATGTGAGAAGCCGAATATAGCTCGTTTCCCAGGAAAGAGTTTGGCGGCAGCGTCGCCGCGAGTTTGAAAAAAATATCAGTTGCCAAGCAGAAAAGGTATCAAAAGCAAACAATTGTTATTTTTGTAAAGTTCTATCTGAAGAACCAATAATAAATATAATTTTATACTTAAATCCATAGTTATAAAAAAAAAATGATATTACTTGCTTTAACAAAAACAGAGAATCTGTACGCTTATTTGAATAACGAAAAACAAACATATAGGGCCCTAAAAATTATTTTGGTCTACGCTCTTATCCATATATTACGTCACGATCTGGACACCAATATCAAAACTAGGTAAATATTGCGCAGTTGTCGCCACATGCCACGCAAATTATTGTACAAAACGATTTTGATTTTAGCGCAATAGCTGTGCAATTTAGTATAAACAACCCCATACACCATACAAACGACCGACGCAAGCTTGGGCGTCGCCAGGATCGAATTTAGGTGGGCTGACATATAAAAAAATCCCTCGAAAATTGTGTTCTAAAATTTTAATGTATGTAGTTGATTGATTAATCCTTATTAATACATATGAGCAAGCTCCCACGAGTTCTTACAAAAATGTGTTTTTGGTCGAAAATGGTGGTTCACCTATCTTAGGAAATGCATTATCTTCAGTTTTGTATAAAGAGCAAGATTTAAATGAAAACCTAAAAAAGATATACGATAAAGTAAAAATAACCACTCATTCTCATATTTATACCCGTAGCTACGGGTAGTAGTGTATGTAACGTATCCGCCCCGTAGCACCATACGAAGTGTACTAATAAGTTTACTTGCACGCCTTAACTTAAAAGCCATATTATTTACGAGTAATTTTTAAGCAAAAAACAAAACCGACTCCACTTCTCATATAAAAATTTAAGATTATCAAAATCAAAGTCATTTGTACTCAATGTAATTTTTTTTTGATTTGGTGAGACACTAGTCTTATTACACTAAATTCGTTCGTTTTGGAAAGAAGAATATTTCCATCGTTTAATTTTAACATTTTGAAGTGCATAACTTAAATTATTAGAATTTAAAAAATCGTAAAATTTTAAAAATTACAAAATAGCTGCGCCAGATATTCTGTATGCTGCCATTTTTTTAATTTTGTGGTGCACTCTTGAAACTTCACAGATTTGTTGTATTTGATGCCCAACGCCCATTTCCTCAAAAATGAACATTCTATTTGAAAACTTACCAGAGTTATTAAAAAAAAAAAACAGTTATGATTTTTTCGAGTGGCAATGAAAAATGAGTAATTCCGGTACTTGTCTAATAACTCCAGTTGAAGTTTTTTTTCGTTAACAAAAAATTGTAATTTTTATTGAAATTACTTAAAAGTAGAACAAGAACTATAATCTTTATTAAAATAACTAAAAAAAAGTTTCTCGATATTTTCCAAATTCGGTAGTTTTTATGAAGTGGATGCAACTTAGGTTAGCAGCTAGCAAAACAGAGATTGGTGTTTTTTTTTATCGATAATATATTTCGATAAAAGTCGGCAAAAGATAAATTTTATATGTAGTACCTAAATAATGAAAGCTGAAAGAAAGGCGTCTGGTACTATAGGGCCTAGGGCGGATAAAACTGCAAATCCGCCACCGGGGGTAGAGCACTAAATTTTCAGTTTACACTAGTAGCTAATGATAGTGCACAATTTTTCACTACTACTCTTGATGTTTAGTGGTGAATTGCAAATTATCGGCTTCACTATATAATACTGATAGTGAAATAAAAAATGGTTCCACTAAAATTAACAATCGAATAGTAAAAAAAAAATATTTCTTCGGCCTAGTGAAACATTTTTTCTTCACTAAATTTATTAGTAAAAAAAATCTGAAACTAACTAATGTTAGTGGAGCACAGGAACCTTTCATTAAATTGAAAGACTAAGTTAACAGTTTATTGCATATGCAACTCTGACAGAAAGTACATAAAGTTTCAAAGCTTTCAAAAAATTTCCAAAAAAATTTCGGAAAAAAATTCAAACTTTTTTATCAGAATCTTTAGAATATTTTCGGGTATGCAGTTTCTTTAGCTCATTCAATTTTAAAGTGCAATTTTGAAGTGGCTAAAAATTACCGTTGTTTTTTAAAGTTTTTTTTTGGAGGGTGTTGCGCATTTTCTTCCATATATGTAAAATGCATGATCAAAATCTATTTTTATATGGAAGAAAAAATCACAAAAATAATTCTACAAAATCAACGGTAATTTTTAGCGACATGAAACTTCACACTTAATAGGACAAAAATTGAATGGGCTACAAAACCGCATACCCGAACATTTTATAATGCAGGCTAAAAACTTTGGACAAAATGCTCCCGTTTCCGCGAGGTTTTCTGCAAATTATCTAAAGTGTGAAATTTTGACATAATGTGTTATACTTATTCTGTTCTAAATAACAAATACTTTCATTTATTTTAGAGCGGAAAGTATCATAATGGCGGAAAAGTTCATTGGTCTGCTTACTGAGTGCCTCTCTGAGCAGAATTTTGTGAACGACTATGGTCGGTTATATCCAGTTGAACTAGATGTGGATATACTTAAACAAGCTTGCAAAAATTTGTATGTATAAATAAGAATGCAATTTGAAATATTTATTAACTATAGTTTGACAAATTTCTTCCAAAGGGATGGCTTTAAAGCTTCGTTCATTGTACAAGGTTATCAGCAGGAGTCAAGACCTTCTGCACAAAAACCAAATTCTAAAATGAATAAAAAAGCACCTAGTTCAACCAAATCTAATAATAAAAATGAGCAGCAAGCAAATCGTGTTTCCAATGTCACAACCGCTACCACCGGAACTCCAGAACGTGATATTGATTTAGAGGTCACATCTGTTTTGGATGTGCTACCCCATTTAGGTACCGGTTTTGTGCGTCGCGTACTTTCACGATACGAAAATAGCGAAGAGGCGATTGCCGCTATTCTTGAGGCGAACCTGCCACCCGATCTAGTGCACGCCGACCAATCAGAAGTATACATACCGCCAGATCCACAAGATAAAACTTATCAGCAGACTGGGATTAGGCATTTCAACATATATGATGGGGATAAATATGACGTAATGACCCAAGACAATCCGAAATGTATCATAAAGCAGGGTAAAGGTATGCCAAATGCGCCTAAAAATGCTGCCCAGCTATTAGATGACAAAAGTGATTTGGCGCAATATAGATCCCGTTACGAGGCATATTCACTAGTCAGTGAAGGTGAAAGCAGTAATGATGAATACGATGACGAATATGATGACAGCTATGAAGCGTTGTTGGAAAGTGAGACGCGAACTGTTAGGTCAAAACAGCTTAAAGCTGGACTCGCTAACGTAGAAGATGTGTCAAATGATGAAAGTGAAGATGAAGAAGAAACTATAGAAGATAAAGTCAAGACCGATGTACAATCGGAACGTAATAAGCAATTGAACTTTTGTGAAAATCCAGAGGATGTGCGTGCTCGTTACGAGGCACGTCGGCAAGCTAAATGGAATAACCGTAATAGTGGCGGTGCGGATAATCACAAGACCCGAGAACTCGCTGGCGCGCCAAAAGGGCAAGGTCAAGATAAAGAAACTTTACGAAATCGTGATAAAAAAGAGAAGAATAAATCAATGCGAGCAAATCATAATCGGAAAGCGGGTGCATCATTTAAGAGGAGCAAAGGAATGATGGGTTAACACTTCCACAGGTTGGTGTTTTCCGCTTTATATACTATTAATTGACATTGATGATGTT